GGGCTGAATTCAAAGCAATTTTACAGAATTGAATCAGAGCTTGATTTACTACTGCTCTTATTTGTTATTATCCTTCATATAAACATAATTAAGTAGCTTGCAATATTTAAAAAAGTAAGGTAATAGAATGAGTCCCAGTACTAGAATGTTTTGTTTAGAGCATTGGTTGAAATAAATGCCTTTAAAGAATGCTTTTACGTTAGTACTATGATCTGAATTTATCAACCATGTTTTAGAATTCTAGGTTTTCTTCAGTTTCTGAAAGGATTCAGAGCCTAAGCTTAAAGAAATTGAACACCATGGCAGCGATGTCACCTTGTAGTGCACATTTCCACGAAGCATCTTCTTGAGTTAATCTGTTTTCTCATGAAAACATTTCCTGGATCTGTTCTGAAGATGGAATAATGACTCAGAGAATGTAGCTACTGCTAGTTGCTGCTTGGTTATCAAGCCTCATTAATGTAACTGAATTGGTGGTTTATCTTTCAGCTAATGTGAGCATCTAGTCCAGGATCATGCCTGGTTAGTATTTGGGTAGAAGATTTCCAGGAAAGCTTTGGACTGTAAGCTACAGTAGGAAATAACAAATATCATCATCATCCCAGAAGAAGGCAATGTACTTCTCTGTTATTGTTAAGAACTACATAGATGTGCCCATGAATTCCAGAAAAGAAGCTGGACCAAAAGGAGACTTGATTTGTTATTTACAACTCTACATACGTAGTGATCAGCTGAGCTTGGTTGTTTTCTTGAAGAAATACAACAACAACAACAACAACAACAATAATAATAATAATAATAATAATAATAATAATAATAAAGTTGGAAGGGACCTTGGAGGTCATCTAGTCCAACCCCCTGCTCAGGCAGGAAACCCTATACCATTTTGGACAAATGGCTGTCTAGTCTCTTCTTAAAAACTTCCAGGGTTGGAGCATTCACCGTTTCTGTAGATAGGTTGTTTCACTGGTTAATTGTTCTAACTGTCAGGAAGTTTCTCCTTAGTTCTAGATTGCTTCTCTACTTGATTAGTTTCCATCCGTTGCTTCTTGTCCTGCCTTCAGGTGCTTTGGAGAATAGCTTGATTTGCTCTTTGTGGCAGCCCTGAGATATTGGAACACTGCTACCATGTCCCCCCTTGTCCTTCTCTTCGTTAAACTAGACATACCCAATTCCAGCAACCATTCCTTATATGTTTTAGCCTCCAGTCCCCTAATCATCTTTGTTGCTCTTCTCTGTATTCTTTCTAGAGTCTCAACGTCTTTTTTACATTGTGGTGACCAAAACTGGATGCAGTATTCCAAGTGTGGCCTTACTGGGCATTATAAAGTGGTATTAATACTTCACGTGATCTTGATTCTATCCCTCTGTTAATGCAGCCTAGCACTGTGTTGGCTTTTTTGGCAGCTGCAGCACACTGCTGGCTCATATTTAAGTGATTGTCCACTGGGACTCCAAGATCCCTCACAGTTACTATTACTGAGCAAGGAACCACCTATACTATACCTGTACATTTAGGTTTTCTTGCCTAAATGTAGAACCTTACTTTTCATTACGCAAACTAAGTAACATTATCAGTGCAGATAATATCATCAACATCAACACTGATGATGTTACCTAGTTTGGGTAATGAAATGTCTGCAAGAAAACAACCAAGCTCAGAGAGCACCAAAGACTCCCTCAGGTCATCCCTGAGCTACAAATATTCTCTTTTGTCGATAGTGATCATCAGTAACCCTGTTTACTGTTGTTTTCTTTATAGTTTATTTTTTTGCAACTCTCTCTCCTTTGGTTGTCTTGTTTTCCTGACAATTGTATTATTATCAATGTTGTTGTTGTTGCTGCTGCTGTTGTTAAATCTTCCAAGGCTATTTAAAAGATCACATGGATTATATTTACAAGAAAACAGAATAATTTTTTCTCTTAGGTAATACTGGTAGTATGCTGACAACTTGCACAACTGTTGGCTATCTACATAAACTGCTCATAAAGTTCAAAAGAGCTGTAAGAATTTTCCAGAATTAGAGACACATAAATATGCCAAATATTTTTTTTTCTTTCAGAGTGAGATGTGTGGCAGATACATTTATTAAACAAACATATAAGTAAATAGAGATTCAGGAAGTTGCTTTTATCTGTGTGATATTGATGAATACAAAGAGACAACCTAGGGAGAAACCATCTACTTTGATTATGCACCAGTAAAGTATCTGATTTTCTGACCTTAGAACATTTGATGCTCAGCAGTCTTTCAGTCCTGCATGTAATGGAAAGAATTATTTTGGAGTTGGCAGGCTGCACTTTAAGGAATTGTTTGCTCTTTCTCTCTTTCCTGTTTTAAAAGACAAGCAACCTAAAACATCTAGGTTGATGCAGATCCCCGTAGAGAACATTATGACCATGTAACAACTCAATTGAGTACTAGATTGATTTCTTGTATCCTTCTCTGTTGAGCAGGATATTAAAACCACACTATCAATTTACTGTGATACCAATTCCAAGGGTTGTAATAATGCTGCACTATTTGTACTCAAACATTGTAGCATTACCACCTAAATAGTTAATCCAGTTGTTTAATCTTGACACAGCAGAGCAAAAAAAAAAAAAAAAAAAAAATCCCTGATACTTTTTTGAGACAGTTTTTATAACATCTCTCTAGTTATAAGCAAATAGTATAAACAAGCAAATACATTTCTTGGTTTTTATTTTTACAGTCTGTTTTCTACAGTAGAACCATATTTATTTGCAAAACAACTACAATGAACTATGGTTTGAAAAGGTTCACACACTGCAGTCCTATGCTCACTGCCCATATAATAAGGAAATAACTTTGGTGTTTCTTTTGCCATGATGCACAGGTATTTTTGAATCTAGAAGTTCATTAAGTTGCAAATATTATTTTTAAATGTAAATATATACTTCAACTATGCATGATTACTGTTTTGCTCTTGGAAGCTGCTTTTCTCTTAGTCCAGCCAATGGTTGATCTATTTCTAAGGAAGCAAAAAAGAAAAAAGAAAAAGATCTGTTGTGATTTGCAATGAGAATGAATTAACTTGATCCCCCACAACTGATCTTGTCATGGAGTGTATGGGCAGCAGTGGCTGGAATCTACAACATTGATGAAGACTTTTCCTTCAACAATTATCAACATCATATACAAATTTTCCACTAGCAAGTGTATATTTGTAGAAAACTGACAGTATATATAACATTAACATAAAACATATCAGAGTTAGACTGAGTAGCTTATCTCAGTCTAGGTTAAAATTGGTCCATGTTTTACAGGATTTTAGGCTTTAAAAAAAGTTCCAGGACTGGAAATGGCCAGCACTGAATCTGGAAAATGTTTTTTTTTATTGTTGAGTTACATTATGGTTTCTCAAATTGTGGATCATGTCTCTGTGGGGATATGTAAGAGGGAGGTTATGAGTTTTGTTAAAACACTATATAGATTTGTAAAGGCACCAGAGCACCAGTGGGAAAGGCGAGAAACAATGGTTAGAAACTGATCAAAGAGAGAAGCAACCTGGTATTAAGGAGAAACTTCCTGGCAGTGAGGAAATCAACCAGCGGAACCGCTTGCCTCCAGAAATCGTGGGTGCTCCATAACTGAAGGTTTTTAAGAAGAGACTAGACATTCACCTGTCTGAGATGGTATAGGTTCTCCTGCTTGAGCAGGGGGCTGGACTAGAAGACCTCCAAGGTCCCTTTCAGCTCTATTCTATTCAAGTTACAAATTAAAAGCAATTTTAAAATTAATTCCCAGCTTTGGGAATGCTGCTTACTTTGTCTGCATAAACTGGCTATAGGCTTGTCCAGAAAACAAGATTATGTTTTGACAGGATTGTCATTTTGCCTCCAGAAATATGCACCAGGTGACTGGGGTCCTGCAAAGTTTGAGAAACATAATTATACTATAATTATTAAAACTATTTATTATATCTATTTCTAGCCCAACCCTAACTTAAATGAACTGATCAGTTTTATTCATGGGAGGAGGTACATAAACTCTTTTATCATTTCAGGGGGGGTTGAAAATTTTGAGGAATTTTGGATTACTGATCTGTCCTGAGGGAGCAATATAAGACCAATACACTAGGCTAGTTTATGTGATCTTTCTGATTCTGAAGAGGTGATTTTTAAAGCAGTTCTTCACCATTTTGTGCTAACAAGATGTGTTGGATGACCATACTCAGAATTTTCAGATAGCATGCCAAATCTAGTATAGTCTTTTGCTTTGCTTCTCATTCTCATGAATCTTGCTCATCCATTGACTTAGAGATGATGTAGTTACCTTGTATTTAATTATATGGCTCCTTAGGGAATCTCTTGGCTTGGCAGCAGCTAACTTTCCTCTCTGTGTTCAAAAACAGTGACTGTTCCAAGACTAAAATGTATTGATTTTTTTTTTATTTTGACTACATGTAATTTGCTGTTTTTTTTTTAAAGATGTAAAGTAGATCTTGAGAGGAAACTTTGGGAGAACGTATGAAAGGGGGTATGAGAAATTAGCAGCAGGACTGAATTTATAGCAAGACTTCATTTCTGCAGTTTTTCTGTCTAGTGAGTTTACCTTGGAAATATGCAAAAGAGTAATATATACTCATATGTTTGCACTATATTTTTCATGTTATCACACAACTTAGAGAGTTATCAAATAAGGCAAAACTATTCCAGCAACAATTCATCATGGTAACCTTCAAAATAAGAAATGCCATATAATTAATCAGGGCATCTTTTTTTTTACAAAAGTATTATTTCAACAAAGATTAAGAGCCAGATGAGTCATAACAATATAGTGTGAGGTAACACTATTTTAGATTACAGATTTCTGACTGCTTTTTTTTTTTTTGCTTTGAAACTGTTCCTTTTTTATGGCTTATTATGCTACGCTTTCATCCACAAAGTGTTGTCCTGAAGCAGAATCCTGGCAATCCAACATTCTAGCCATAGGCCCCTTTAAGTATTTCTCTTACGTATTGTGTATCCTTTTCCAGGTACTCATTCCAGGATGAAGAAGACATGTTTATGGTGGTGGATCTGCTTCTTGGAGGAGATTTACGTTACCACCTGCAGCAAAATGTCCGTTTTGAAGAGGAGACTGTGAAACTATTCATCTGTGAGCTAGCCCTGGCACTGGATTATCTCCAAAGCAGGAACATCATCCACAGGTGAGTTGTGGGCTGGAGAGTTACATTAATGTTTTCAATAAGCATCAAACAATAGCTTGCTGGGCCACTGAAACTGAGATAGATTGAATTTCACTAGTAAGATGCAAGCCTATAAGTCTCTCTTCTAGGTAACATTTGTGACTGTATTCGCTGAAACAAACAGATTTGAACCAACAATATATTTTAAAATAAATATCCAGTATTTTACAAACTGAATATATTAATACAAATATTTTCTTTTATATCTTCTTTTATAACTGACCATCTCATTCTGCAATACATACACAAATCTTATATAAACTATTTGTCATGCAACTGATGGTAGATAAACATATAGAGTATTTCTAATTCATGAACAGATTATTTACCGTCTTATAAAAAACAGAATGTCTATGCAGTTTTCTTGGGAACTTGTCTCGAAGTGGTTTGCCAGGGCCTTCCTATGATTAAGAGAGAGAGACTGGCACAAAGTCTCCCAGATGGCTTTAATGCCCAAGATAGGACTAGAATTCAGGTTTCCCCACTCCTAGCCAGCAGCTTAACTACTAAACCAAACTGGCTGTTTTAATATGATCCATAAAAATACATGAATTCCAAAATAATACTTTGTAGTGTTCAAGTATTTGGTAAAACGAATAGTTATGTTCTTATTAGGCAATATACTTTTTAGAAAAAAGTATACTTTTTAGAAAAGGCTTTTGGCAGACTAACACATATTCTAAGAATGCATACAGTCATGTATGTGTTTATCTTCTAACTTGGCGGGTATGTGTGTGTATATGTATGTGTATATATATTTGTATATATTTATATTTATATAAAATTGGAGGATATGTGATTGAGAATGAATGAATGAATATTATGCTCATTTTACACATTTCCTCCTTTCCTCTATAGCTGTGTATATCACTTGATTTAAAGCAATCAAGTGCTTGCATGTTTCTAAAGGAAATGAATAAATGTCAAAAGAAGACCATTCATATTTAAAGCAATATTCCCATGCCTTTAAAAGCTATAGCTTATATTTTGCCAATCTTCAAAACTGTCTAACTGGGATTAGTATCAAGAAACTTCAGGAAGTCTCCTAAATCCTTTTATGCAATCCCCAGAATTCATGCCAGTGAATTTAAATACGAAAGCAATATATACATCCTTTTATATAATTGCACGTATGTGTGTCTTTGTATTAAAATTTACTGGCATGAATTCTGGGGATTTCATAAAAGGATACACACACACACACACACACACACACACACACACACACACAATATAATATTTTAAAAAGCTTCCAAAACTTAACCTGGAAATATTGTCTATTTCACAATCATTGTTCTCTTTGCTTTACCATTTATTGCTCAGTTTGTTTCTTAAATATAGTATAGAAATATATGCCTTTGAATATAGTAATAAATTGCTGATGAATATTGTTATGATGTTTGGTATACTCTAGAACAGTGGCGGTGAACTTATGGCACTTGGAACCCTCTCTGTGGGCACACGTGCCATTGGCCCAGCCTTGCTTCCTCCCGTGACCCCTTCCTCACCAGCAGCCCCCCTAGAGGAGAGTTGCCCCCGAGCATGGCCCGAGCAGAGCAGCGCAGCCAAGGACATGGCAGCCAGGCAGCATAGATAAGACTCTGCCCTCACACCCCATCACGCACAGTTGATGCTGCAGGGCGCGGGCAAAGGGCATGGCCGCAATGGTGCTGCTGGGCTGCCTGGGTGATCTGCGGCAGGCCCTGGAGGTGATGAGTGGCCCTGCAGGCAGGCGGGGTGAGGGCAGGGCAGGGGGTGAGCGGGAGTGGGGCCAGTTTTTGGGCACTCGGTCTCTAAAAGGTTTGCCATCACTGCTCTAGAAGTAGAATGCATAGAGTGATAATGATTCCAAGTTAAATCTCCGTGCTTTGCATTTGTACAACATTCTCCAAGTTGCTATCCTCTAGATGTGTTCAATCACTATTTCCATCCTCCCCTCAGAGGATGGACATGCTGGTTGGGAAGAATGAAGATATAATCCTCAATGCTTGAAGACCACATTTTGAGAAACTTTCTAGACAGATGCAATGGTTAGAATTTTTGGAGGGCTTACATGAATTATCTATTTTTAGATAAACATTTTCTTTATCGGGCAGGGCTTACACAACAAAAATAAAAAAGATTGTAGGTATTATTTAAAAAAGATGAAACGTTTCATGCATTAACTTTCAAAATATCATTGTCATGGTTCCGATAGATGAGGCCAAGTAAAACAGAACTCGGAGGCTTGAGTTTTCCTCTGAGAACATGTTTACTGGATACAAAGTATTGGCACAGTCAAAAGTGAAACCAAGACTAAAATCCCCTCCCCAAAGCAACAGTAATACAAAGTTACAGTCCCACCCCACTGGCTATGCAATCAACTACGTTCTCCAATAACACACCCAGGTGGGCTTTCTAACATTAGAAGTATCTTCCCCAACTGAGGAAACAGAAATGATTTTGGTTCCTACGGGACAGAAAAATGTTTAGTCTAATAGAAAAAGTCCCATTCCACACATACCCCTATCTTGTGGCAACAGGAAACAAGGAAAATGGCTTCAACCAAATCCATTGCAAGGTTGACAATCATGTTTACTCAAAGAAGTTAGCAAGTTGTCAGGTTGAACAGACAGGTTTAAATTAGCTAAAAAGCACTTGAAGTGATGTCTTTGCAGTTTCCATACTAAAATGTCTGTCAGACTTCTGGGCAGAGTTAGAATTGTCTTGCTGCAGTTTGTATGTTTTTCAGGAGCTTTGTCTATAGGTACACATTTTAAAACAACAGAATTGAGTTCCATTCTGCTGTATTTAACTGTCCTACCTGGACAAATCCAGTTGCTTGTGTTGTACCTTCAAAGTCAAAGGTGTTTCAAAGCCAAGTAGGCTGGTAATGAAGGTATAAGATTAACTTTTCCTGCTGTGCACCTGTTCACACAGCCAACAAATAATGAATGAGGATAAATTACACTTGGCGAGACAGAAAGATTCCAGTTATTTAGCAAAAGGTTTGACATTGGAAACTGGCCAAAAGACTGATGGTTTCATTTAAAATATAAACAAGTTTGATAAATAAATAATTCAGTTTATTGCTTGCCTGTTTTATACTATACTGTTTACTTTACTGTTACTTTACTGTTTACTTTATTGTTTATTTCACTGTTATTAGCAAGAGGTGTGCTGTATTCAAAGAGTTTGGTGCCAGCCATACGTTGTCTTTTTTCATAAGGAGTTAGTGGACCATTTGAGTATAAAGCTAAATAATCAGATGCTTTGAGATCTTTATTTCATTGTGCTGATAACTGACAAAATTAATTTTTGACAACCTTTCTAATTGATTCCTAAAACTGAATTCTTTCACAAGCTTAGCTGTATAACGAAGTATGATAAAATACAATAAAATACTGCTTTGCAAAGAAAGACTCCATAGGCTAAAATAAGACTGGATTCTAACTAAATGAAATTCTGTCAAATGCATGCGACTGATTGCACAACTGTTTTGCTATAAATTGGAGCGAAATAGTTATATAATTAGGAAAGGTACTGAATTCTCTGTTCAGTACATGCTTGTTATTACTGTGTAATCCAGGCCCTTTCTCTTTTTCACATACCACATGAACACTATAGTGGTATTCCCAGTACCACTAAACTCTTCATTTCCTTACAATGACTGCGGGGTTTTGCTTTTCAGAATCCACTGAAATATTATAAAGTGCTGAACAAATTTAAAATTTTTCTGACTTGTTCTTTGGGCTGAATAGTAAAAAACTAAGTTGATTAGGGGGGTTTTGTGACATAGTCCAAATGTAAAACAGTGTGATTGAATGTTATTTCATTCTAGGTTCAGTTTCTAATGTGCACCGAAGATTACTAGGAAAAGAGGGGAAAGGGTTGAAAATATAAGTCCAGAAGTTAGCTTGGGGTACCGTAAAGATAACACAAAGGTCAGACTGCTGGACAATCAGGGCCAGCAGCCACCTTCTCCTTTTCCCCATTTATTGTGGGATCAGTTTTTTAAAATGTTTGTTGGCACTGCAAAACTATTCCAAGGGAATGTTTTCTCTCAGAGTTGTACTAGGAAGAACAGAAAAGGCAGCCCCAGTGAGTGCTGCCGTTGTGTTGATGTGAGTGCTCTGTAGACCCACCATGCTTTGAAAGCGATACACCAGTCTTGGTATCCTTTAGCAGCACTACAGCTTTGTCATATATTTGCTGATGTTTTTACCACATCGGTGAAAACAACAGTCATGCTTCTTGATGTGCTGAGGCAGTTTTCAGTATGCTCTGGATGTGATCTTTGCCAGACCTGATAAAATGCTTCTACTTTTGTTGGTTGTTTTTTTTTCTTTTAGGTAGTTTTTTCTTCTTTCTTTTATTTTTGTTTTTTTGTGAGGAAGTGGTTAATTAGCTATTTTATTACTTTATAGAATACAGATAATAGCCAAGTACAGTAGTAGTTATACAATAGGAAGTAGAAACTATTAATGCTCAATGAAAGTAAATTAAACCTTTCAACATTTAACAATGTTAAATATGATTTCTGAAATGTATTCTTTATGAAGATAGGATGTGACTAAAATGCTCTTTAAATTCATAAAATAGACTTTTGATTTGGTTAGAATTTAGTTACATTAACATCAAGATATTATTGACTGCTTTGAGGAAGAAAACATTTTAAATTTTATAAACCTTAATGCACAGTTCGTATGTTGCAACCTATATTATTTAGGTGTGCTTGTTTAGGTATAAGTATAGCCACACTTATAGTTGACCCACCTGAAATATTGTTATACAAATATTTAAAACTATCTTTGAAAATAATATAAAAATAGTTTTAAATATTTGTATAACAATATTTTCTTTTCAACTGGATCAGCTGTAAGTGCTGGATATACTTATTCCTTGCTTATCTGCTAATAGCTTTGCAAATTTGACCACCAAATTGCCTCTTAAAGTTGTACATGTCTCCCAGTTTCATTGAT